TTTTCTATTTTTAATTAAATAAAAATTTACCAAAAGTTTTATATATAATTTGAAAATCGTATACTCTACCCTTAAATCATGCTTTATATCAAAAATCAATGATTTATATCATCGTGATTTAAATCATATACTGGCAACCCGGGCTTTTTCCAAAACATTTTATATACGTATAAAAAAACAAAATATTTTATAGATTTTTTTAAAAAAACTCAGAGTTTTGTAAATTTTGACCCGGCCAGGTTATGAGCACCGATTTATTAAGTTTGTATGGCCTAACCTTAAACATACTAAAAAATTTCAAATCCACATAAATTCCGTTCTCATATTTTTATACGTCTCAAAAATTTTATTTTATGAAAACCAAAACTTTATATAACCTAAAAAAAATAATTTAGATATATACCATATATTTCGAGTATACAAATTTATTGATATGCTAAATAATGAATTTAGACGAATAGAATACATACTGTTTCATTACAAAGAATCGACAATTATTGAAAAATATTTATTAAAAGTAGATTTTTTTAATATGTTTTTGCATTAACTAATTCAAATTAATGAGTTTTCAAAATAGAATAAAATGCAAAATAATCATACAACTTTTTAAGTTTGCAAAAAGTTTTACACAACTAATTAAATTATTCCTTATGATTAAAAGCAGGAAACCTTCTTAATTGTTGATCGGTCCACAATTTATGCAACATCGCAAAGGTACCACCACCGACACTTGCAGTAACAACCACTATCAATGGAAGCACTTCAGGTGGTAAATTACGAACAGCATGTCTCAATCTGCTCGTTAATGATAATGGATCGTGAATTGAAATCTTAGCACGTGGGCGGTTTTGTGTAATCATAAAACGAAATTGTGATCGGTTTGGTATAAAACGAAATTGTGGTCGGTTTGGTATAGTCATAAAACGAAATTGTTGGTGGTTTTGTGTAGTCGTAAACCGGAATTTTACTTCTTTTTCGAGCATTTTGAGCGATATTTCTTTAAAATCGAGAGAAAATTTAATTACTAGTATGAAAAGTTTCTAATACTTTGTTATGAATAAATAATGGTTAATTATTAAAATTTTACCACTATTATCAAGTAAAAAACTTGTTCACTATAAAATATCGCATCAAACGGAAAAGTAAGCTTTTATAAACTAATAGCTAAATACCTAAGTGTGGGAAAGTGATGTAATTGTCCTATTATGTCATTTAAACAAAGCATTCCTTGGGATACACTAAAAGTTGTATAGATCACCTGATTTTTACTATTTTTTGCAGTGGTATGATTTGAGATGATCAATTACATCACCAGTTTTAAAAGTCGGATAGTATTTTATATTCATCGCATGATATAGCATCGCATGATATAGTATTTTATATTCATCGCATGATTATATTCATCGCATGATTGACTGTATTTATATCCATCGCATGATTGATTGTATTTTATATTCATCGCATGATTTTTAATTAGAAAATTAATAATTAACTTAAACTAACTGACCTTAGCCTTCGATCCCATTGTTAGGCAAAAAGGCATACTTACTGAGAAGGCGGTAAGAGCAAATCTATAAATCTTTTGTCTCGAGCAGAACACGTAATGTAAAAGTTAGGGTGTGTGGCACGGTGGTCATGTGCATGCCCAAAACTAAACTAGTCTATAGGCATGTCACTTATATGATATGTCTTGTTCTGGTTAAACTGATATTTGGATATTCCGAAATATTCCAAAATTATAACGATAAGAAGCAAATATCCCGAAAGATAGGTTAATTATATTATGGCATGCCTATAGTATGGCATGACTTAAATTTTAGCATGCCAAATTTTTTTGCCGTGCCACACACCCTAGTAAAGTGCATATACTATACAAGACCCGGATCTATCTCATTCCGCTAATTTTAAAACCATTTAGTAGACCCTGGATCTAGTACATGTTGAGGCAAAATACTGTTCCTGATGGACCGTCGGTACTGTTCCTGATAGGGTCAGAAACAAATATTGATTTACATACCGTTCCTGATAGGGCTACTAAAAAAGTTAGGATTAAGGTTTGTTTTTAAAACCTTATCAGGAACATTACTTAAATATATATATATATCTCTTTTAACGCCATCAGGAACGGTATTTTTTGCGCTGAGATGAAAATTAGAATAGGTGAAAAAAAACCGCTGTTCGCACCCGGGTGGGTTTACTATTTTGGGTATTATATGTACTTATCAAATCTGCGCCTCTTAAATAATTTAAAAAATTGCATTTCAGGAACAGTACTAGAGCCAGTGGATTTTAGTAGTAGTAAAAATCGCACTACGTATCATTTTGACTGAAAATTATTAATATTATTGAAATTCTTAAAATTAATACGTAAAAAATCGCTCTTTTTATCTAAAATAAGACCTGCTGAGCAATCGTACAAATTTTTTAAGCCAGTTATATGTAATTTACTAAGGAGATACAATTTGAAATTTGATTATTTTTTATAATCGTTTCATATGAGATTTTTAAGCTTCAAATTGTATCTCCTTGGTAAATTGCATATGAAAATTTTGCTCATTTGCTCAGCAGACCTTATATTTAGAAAAAGAGTGTTTTTTTTTAAAAAAAAAACATTTATTAAAATTTTATTAATTTATTGAAATAATCTATTTGTCATCGGTACCCGGATTTTATTGTAGTTGTAAGGTTAGAAAAAGTCATAATATATACGTAGTAAGGAATATTTTTTGTTAATTTCATAAGCATAATTTAGATTTGGAAATTTGTAACTGCCAGCGACAAATAGATTTTTATTAATACGTATCATAATTTTTATATGGAACTACGTATACATAGATTTGATTTACATAGTACATTTAATACCCTAACGAACCGAAGTACCCCAGTGGCACCGACAGATTTTCACTGATCGACAGCGATTGACCAATTAGATTACAAGATCGGGTATAACGTGAAATCAAAACAAAAAACTAACATTTTTTAAAAAAACCACCATAACTCAAAATTTCGCCTATGTAACCATCTTCTGCGCTTTAGTAAAAAAATTTCCTTGCAAAATTTTAGTATAAGACATGTATCGTTATGATTATAAACCTGACTCTAATGTACTGTTTTATGGCTTTAAAAAATTGTCGATCAGTGAAAATCTGTCGGTGCCACTGGGGTAGTTTAACGAACCGCCACCCTACAAATATATCGCGCACTATATAACAAAAAAATACAAACAAAAAAATTTAAACTGACAAAATAATAACGATAATAAATTAATCATTTTATTTCTTTATTTCAAACAACTCAATAAACGTAATATTTTATTTCAGCCAGAAAGTATTATGATTACGGTTTTTCCAAATATTTGTAATATTTCATTGCCTTTTAAAATGATTATAATCCTCCAATTTATGCAATGGCACAAATTTGTTATTAATACTATCGAGCCATTTGTTACTATTTAGATTCATTATGTTTTTTTGTCAATAATTTTTTGTTGCTGCATCCTGGATTCAAATAAATAATCAGAGTTATAATCTTCTAGAAGAGCATTCCAAATAAAATTTACAAGGCTTTCTGATGTAATTGCATGTTAGTAGAAATTTGGTTACGGTAATTAAAATATACAGTATTTCAGAAGTGTCTTTATTGGATCTTACGCTTTTCACGATCGTTTTTCACTAAAAAATCGGAGAAAAAAAAAATCACTAAATCAATTATGTTAATATTTTAATAAATATTATTACGTATCATGATGAATGGACAATATCGCATGATATTCAAAACTTATTTGGGTCGATAAATTACCAGTAAATTACTATAGCAGGTTATAAGCAGAGACCGTTAATGCTACACATATATCAAAACTCACAATTGAGTCCAACATAAATAATTTAATTTGTGATTGATCACAGGCGTGAGGGATTCACTTTGGATCGGGCACTGTCTTTGCTATAGGTAGGTTACAAACATTATTAGAACTTTTCAAAATTACACACATTTTACACAATTTTACAATACATAAGGGAGAGTCGGGTATTCAGGCGCGGGAGGTAATGTGGCGCACTTAAGTTTTTTTAAAGTATCTCGTAATACAATGATTGGAAACGAACGATTTTAGCATTATTCAATTTGCCTTATCAAGACGAATCGAATGGTGTCAAAATCACTTTAATTGGAATTATTGGCTGCTAGATATAAGCAACGTTAATAAAAAAAAATTAAAAAACATCAGAAATTAACAAATGTGTATTCGGCACTCCCGCATGTTCCTTGATGATCTGGCCTAATTAAGTAATTTATTAATTGAGGAATTCGTTAATGTTATACTGTTACAAAGTAGATTTTAGCATAGTATATTATAAATAGCATTAGTAGTTATATATATTCTTTATTGTATTTTATATCTTATATTTATTATCATTAGTTATTAGTTATTAGTTAGTTGATAGTTATATTATATAGTAGATAGATAAAAAAGATCTTAATTGGTTATTAGCAATGTGGTACAGCCACATGACACTGAGTAACATCTGTGATATTATTATCATCTTACAAACCCCAAATACCTCTGTACAAGTTTCATGTATCCTAGCATCAAATTACTGTGTCAAGTGTCACAGCACAAGAATCCCAAATATTCCTAACATGAACCCTAAGTGTTCCTATATGAATCTCAAGTATCTCTGTACAAATCTCAAATGCCTTTGTATGGATCCAAATATCTAAACACAAGTCTTAAGTATTTCAAACACAAATAATGAATGATATAAACAATATTCCCAGTTGTCTCTGCACAGTCCACATTACCTCAAGCACAGTATTATTTAATGTTGTTCGAATCTCTACTATCCTAACTACAATAATATCTAATGTTGTTCGAACCTACACCATCCCAACTACAATGATATCTAATGTTGTTCGAACCCTTATTACCCTGAGTACAGTATCAAGTAATGTTGTTTGAATCCCTACTATCCCTACTAGGTAAAAAGATATATAAAGAATAACTTTTACTCTTTCTTGCCAATTCTAAGTTCTTATACTTTAATCTAGACCCTTCTATTTTTATCCCTAATTTGTAAAAGTGATATTCCCCTTCTAGAGTAATTCTTATAGGCAAGGTTATCACTGTATGTCTATCTAATAAAAATTAATCTATATACTGTTACTATCTCGAACTGTTTGTCTGCTGCTATATAGTAAAGTAAACTATTACATCTCCACCCTTTATATATTTGCAATACTCAATCACTATACCAGATAATCTTGTTACTTGGTTGTATTGTACCAAGAAGACTACAACCCTGTAATATTTTAGTGTCTTCTGGCAGAAATATAAAAATTTATTCCAGAAAAGGAACAGAAATCTCTCTCAAAGAAATTACCTCAGGAAGCAATTCTCTCTCTAGAAAAGATTTTATTTTGAAGCAACAATTATGAAAAAGCATTTTGAAATTTTGGAATTATTATTTTAGATATACCTCTACTAACTCAAATTGAACTGAATTATTTTGTATTTTACATTTGTATTTTGTATTTTGAAATTGAAGAAATTTATGCTTTTATCTTCTATCTTTAAATTTTTGATTTTTAAAATAATCTTGATTTTGATTTTTGATTTTGATTTTTGATTTTAATATTACTTACTGGCCAATAAATATATTTTGAATTGTTTAAACTTTTGATTAATTACTTGAATTCTTTACTTACTAGCACTATTATTTTAGATTTATTCTCTCAATTTTATTTTTATTTTATTGTTTTATTACTTGTTAGTACTAACCCTTCTTAAAGAAATTTATTTTATGAGAGATTTTCTTATTTGATTTCATTTAGAAAATATTCAAAAACACCAACAGATCCATAGTAAAAACCTCTCTCTTGCTACCACTGTATTGCAAACCCTTGTAATTGATTTATTTTGTTCTCAGTATTATCCACCAACATCTATTTCTCCTAATTCTCATGAACACTTTACTAAATTTTGGAT